ACGGCCCTGTCACTGGGGCACATCGGGGCGTCCATGGCGTTATTTCTGGTCTCGTCCCTTAAAGAAACATATTTTAAAAAAACATTTTCTGAAATCACATTAGCAGAATTCGGGTGCCCCTTGTAAGGGTTCTGGGAAACCCACGAAGACGCCGCAACCCTGAAGGAGGCCTCTGTCAGGGTCTGACGCAGCAGAGACCAGAAAGAACCCATAGCTGGCGCAGTCAGACGTCCCTGCAAGACTTTCAAACAAAGAGAAAATATAACTTGTCAGTCATGATGCCCTGGTCCAAACAAAATGCAGTTTTGCTTAAAGAGATGCTGTCAAACATAGTCATTTGGGCTCCAAAATTATGCTTCGCAAAACACTAAATTAGTTTTGTCAAAACATAACCTTGTTTCTCAAAACATTGTCAGAACTTTCAAAGCTCAATAAAAGAAAGCAGTATTTATGGTTTAGGTGTATATTATCCTCTGTATTTATTTTACGTAGCATCTATCAAGTCATCTGTGTCTGTCCATCCATTCATCCAACAAGTATTATTGAACTCTTATTGTGTGTCAGGCACTGTGCTGGACCCTGAACACAGAGATAAAAAGACACATCCATATTCTCAAAGCTAGTAGTCCTAGTGAGAAGACAGACAGGAATAAATTGTGATAGTTAAATAAAATGACCACTGTGGCGGACAGGCAGAGCGGTGGGAAGCAAGTCTTAACTGCTTTTGCCCAGGGCACTCTGGGAGCTAAGCTGAAGCCAGACCGTTCTTTTCAGATACTCTTTAACATTCATAGAACACTTAGTGTCTGAGATCACCTCATTTTTTCTCTTGAGATGCACACAATTGATGACACTGTCACAGGGGACCCACCACTATGGGATACACATATAAGGTGTTCAAACACAATTCTCAGAAGAGGGAGCTTTCCTGAAGAAGGTGGAGGAGGAGAAGGAGGATATTTGGTTCTTCTCTTTCGATAGAAGATTGATTGGCGGGTTGTCCCTCACTAGCTTTATCTACATATTTTTCTTCCCTTTCAAGGAAACTAATGAGGATGCAAATGAGTGAGAGTGACCTTATTGCAAAGGACAATCTAAATCTGATCTAACTTCCTTAAAAGCAATTTTTAATTAATTAATTAATTAATTAATTTTGGTGAGGAGGATTGACCTGGAGCTACCATCTGTGGCCAATCTTCCTCTTTTTGCTTGAGGAAGATTATTGCCTAGCTAACATCTGTGCCAATCTTCCTCTTTTTTGTATGTGGGACACGTCCGCAGCATGGCTTGATGAGCTGTGTATAGCTCCGAGCTGGGGATCCAAACCTGTGAACGCTGGGCTGCTGCAGTGGAGTGGACAAACTTAACCACTTCACCACTGGGCCGGCCCCAAAAGCAAATGTTTTGAAAACTCTCAAATGTAGTTACAACTTTTGTGTGACAGATTTCAAATAGATTGTGACTATTAGGTTGTTTTGTTGCAGTTAACAAGGACTTGTTTCAAATGCTTTCCAAAGACATCTCAAGGAGTTTACATTCTCCCAAGATTAGATGGTTGGTTTTTTAATGCGTCACTTTGGGAACAAATTATAAAAAATAACTTCGATCTTATAATTTTATTTTGATGCCTCCGGATGTCATCAGCCACATAAGCTGCAACAACCAGAACCCCTCCTGCCTTAATGACAATACGAATGAGAAAGGGTGGTTGGACTCAACATTTGTTTATGCTGGGGAAGTGACTCTGCCACACAGCACTTTAGTAGGGCCCCAAAGGGAAATTCAGAAGGCAAACCTGATGGTCTTCTGGCAGTTCTTCTGAAGGCCTTTGAGTCCCATCAGAACACGTCAAAGGGTGCAGCTGAGTAACTTATCCATTAGTCAGGGGCGGTGGTGGTTGGGGTGGGGAATTGCTTATCCTGGAATCTGTAAGCCCAGGTGACATAAAGATTTGAGGATATGCTGGACAAGGCAATATTCTCTTTATATTAAATATTAAAGGGCTGTGTCTGTACACATGACAAAACTGTTGCAAAACCAACTAATAATTCAGAATTTTTCCTTTTTATGTTTGCATAATCCATTCAATAACAATTGATTGAGGGGACCGTTTGCTGATCTTTTTCAGTCACTAAGTCAGCAAATTAAAAATCCTAGATCAGTGGTACCTTGGTCCACTCCTTTTAGTCACTGAGATGTCACTGATATTTCTGCTAAACACACTATACTAAAGCTATTAAGAAGTTTTAGCGTCCACTGAAATGAAAGGCAGGGAATGAATCTGTTGAGAATCTCTCCAAATGTGAATCTTTAAATCTACTTGCCATCCATCTCAGAATGTTCACTGCATGTCGTCTGAGGCTCACCATAGTCACCGCAACTCCAGTTAGGGGGTGCTCGATGGCTTGGCATGTGACCACACTCAGAGCTGCCCAAGAAAGCGGACCTGGAAGGACCAGCCAGTCCCTGAGCCCATGCGTGTCCCTGACGCGCCACAGTGTTCTTCACGGCTCCTTTACTTTCGTAAGTCCATAATTAATATCTATTCATTTAACTTAAATATATTTTTCAAGTGAAAAAAACAACCAACAAATTGAGCCTCCTTAGTCATTTAAGTGTCTATACGCTGAGCTTCAGTCCATCAACAGACAGTGAACACTTGCTGTCCATTGTTGCCCAGGAGGCCTGCAGGGACTCCTGAACAGGGCCCTGCAGGGACTCCTGAACAGGGCCACCAGTTCTGCCGCTGAGCAGGAGGCGCCGAGAGCCCTCTGTGCCCTCTGGTGGAGAGGAAGGCCCTGGAAATGGACTGCAGTGCCCTTGATGGGAGGGTCCCTTTTCGTCTTCATCGTCAGAGGCTTCTCTATTTCTTCCCATTTTCTGGTGCCCAGAGGAGTACCTGGTCTCTCCAAACACTTGCAATTTGGAGGTTTTGCGTTCCTGCCTTATTTCTGCAGGCCTCTTTTCTTCGTACTACACCTAGTCCCCTGGTTCTCGGCCCATTTACCCACGTGGACTCCAGCTCTGCAACAGACACTTCTGATTTCACCCTACAGTTTGTAGGCGGTATCTCTTTCTTGCTTCTTAGATCAAATCCTTTTGGGTTAGCAGTGCTGCCGGGCCATGGTCTGAACTAGCCCCACTGCCCGTTCCTTTTTCCTCACACGTCCCCTGCCCAGGACTGACTCGGGGCTGCCAGCTCTTACCTGGCCTCCCTTCCGTGGGCGGGTTTGCCGCAGCAGCCTGCTCACTTCCTTTACTCCTGCTTCTCCCAAGTGCCTCCCAGCACAGCGGGATTGACTGCCCACAGTCAGCACCTTCGTGTAAATAGTTTTATTTGACCCTTTGTTGACAGCTGATATGGAGAAATAAGGAAAACAGCGATAAGTGTTTTGGAAACTTTTAAGGTGAAGCATGGAGAAAGGGGAAAACTATTTTTGAAGAGGAGTGGAAAGACACAGGCAGGAGATATTGTGGAGATAAAAGCACAATTTTCTGCTGCAATGTCTTTATGCTTATTTGCACAGCCTGCCAGCTCTGATCACTCTCGCCTGCCTTGTCCCTGTGAACATCTACTTTTGTTCATTTCCTCATGCACCAAATTGTTCTGAATTGCCAACTCTGTGTCAGTCACATTCTAGGCACCAGGGATACAATGGCGAGTAAACTGAACTCTCATGAAGTCTAATGGGGAAGCTACAGGAATCAAATTATCACATGATAAATATGTATATGGGGTTGGGGAGATACATGTGGCAGAGAGGGGTTATAACAGGGGAATTTGACTAGGTTAGTGACATCTGGAAAAATACACTTGGAGAAGTGACCGGGTTGCCGAGATTTAGTGGAAATATAGGACGTAACTCAGTGACTATAGAAAGAACTAACTTTACTGGGAAAGAGTATGAACAAAAGCCTGTGGTGGAAAGGAGCATAGTGTGTTCAAAAAACTACAAGAAGGCCTGAGTGTCTGGGAGACAAAGAGAGATGGGAAATGTCATGGGCTGGGGCTGGAGAGCTGGGTAGAGGCTCTTATGAGCATCTTAAACATTTTGTTCTTGTCCTAAGAGCAACGGGAAGTTATCTATTGTTGTGTAACAATTTACCACGAACTCAGCATAATGAAAAATAATAATAAAAAAGAACTCATACAACTCAACAACATAGAAACAAACAACCCAATTGAAAAATGGGCAGAAGACCCAAAAAGACATTTTTCCAAAGAGGATATACCGATCGCCACAGGGACATGAAAAGATATTCAATATCATTAGCTATCAGGGAAATGCAAGTCAAAACTACAATGAGATATCACCTCACTCCCATCAGAATGGCTGTAATTAACAAGACAAGAAACAAGTGTTGGAGAGGACGTGGAGGGAAAGGAACCCTAGTACACTCCTGGTGGGAGTGCAAACTGGTGCAGCCACTATGAAAAACAACATGGAGATTGTTCAAAAAATTAAGAATAGAAATACCATATGATCCAGCTATTTCACCTTGGGTATTTATTCAAAGGACACTAAAACACTAATTCGAGAAGATATTTGCACCCCTATGTTCATTGTAGCATTGTTCACAATAGCCAAGACTTGAAACAACCTAAGTGCCCATCAGTGGATGAATGTGGAAAGAAGATGTGGAAATATATACAATGGAACATTAGTCAACCATAAAAAAAGATAAAATCTTGCCATTTGCAACAACATGGATGGACCTTGAGGGCACTGAGCTAAGCAAAATAAGCCAGAGGGAAAAAGCCAAATACTGCATGATTTCACGCATATGTGAAAGTTAAAAGCAACAACAAACAAACAAACACATAGACACAGAAAATAGATTGGTGGTTACCAGAGTGGAAGGAGGGAGGGGGAGGCCAAAGTGGTAATAGGGCACATGTGTATGGTTACAGACGGCAATTAGACTTTGGGTGCTAAACGAGATATAAAAAATAATAAATAAAGAAACATTTAGTATCTCACAGTTTCTGTGGATCAGGAGTCCAGGAGCAGCTTAGCTGGGCAGTTCTGGCTTGGGTCTCTCATGAGGTTGCAGTCAAGATGTTGGCTAAAACTCTGCTGTCGTCTGAAGTCTTGACTGGAGCTGTGGTCTACTTCCAAAGTGGCTCACCTACATAGCTGGCAAATTGGTATGGTTGTTGGTGGGAGGTCTTAGCTCCTCTTCATGTCAACGTCTCTACAGGCCTGCTTGAGTATCCTCATGCACAGCAGCTGTCTTCCCCTAGAGCAAGTGATGAGACAGAAAGAGAGAGTGAGCTATCCTTTTTAAGACCTAGCCTCAGAAGTCACATACCGGTTCCATCACCTTCTATTTGTTAGGAGTCAGTCACTAGTTCTACGAACATTCAAAGGGAGGAGAATTAGGCTCCACTTTTTGAAAGAAGTAGTGTCAAAGAATTTGGAATATATTTTATAACCACCAAACCATTAAAGGGTGTTAAGCAGGAATGGTGATATGATCAGATACGCTTTTCAAAATTATTACTCTAAATAGGAGGCAAATTAAATAGGGTCAGTATTGGTTAATAGACATTAGAGTGATTCAGGTGTGGATTGCTGGTAGGGTGAAATAGGATGCTGGTGAAGATGAAGAGAAGAGAAGAAGATACATTTAAAAGGTGAAATGAGTCTTAGGGATCAAGTGGACTTGGCAGTTGAAGGAGAGGAAGTATTATAGATTCTTAGATTTCTGGTTTGTATAGATGAATATTGTGGCATTTAGTGACGTGGAGAATGCTAGGAGAATACCAATCAGTCTATCGGAGCTAATGGGGGTGATCATGAGTTTTATTTAAGACATGTTAAGCTTGAAGTGTCTTTGAAATATCCAAGCACAGTTACCACATAGTTCCTTGGTCATAAAACTCTGGAACTAAGATTAGAGTTCTGAGCTAGAGACATAAATTAATGAATTATTCATGCAAAGAAAGGAAGGAAATCTCAGGGTTTGATGAGAACTCCTAGAGAAAGAAAAAAATGATACACAGAGAAGAGGGTTTGGAAGACTAGATTTTTGTCCAGTAAGTGTTCGATCTCCTCTCTCTTTCTTTTCTCCTAGGGGAGCAGTACCCTCTCCCGTCCTGTGGTGCTGGCCTTGGCCGTGTAACACCAATGAGGTATCAGCAGGTGTGACAGGAGCAGGTGCTTGAAATGTGCAGTGGGGCTTCTCTTTCTGTGCTCTTTCCTTTTGCTTCAAAAAGAACACGCTTTAGATAGCCCCTGCTTCACGGAGGGAATAGCTGACCCGAACCCAACCCAAAGTTTGAGGCCAAACTCAACCAAGCCCAGCCTACATCAGCTTTGCCCAATTTACAGCTATATGAGAAAGAAAAAAATGCTTATTTTTGTAAGCCACTAAAATGTGAAGATTTTTACTTGTTTCTGTTATGCAGCATTATTTTGGTAATAGCTGACTGATACAAGGGCCTCGGATCTAGTAGCAAGGAATACTATTCTTTAAAGTCCTTGCTGGGCTACATATATTTGCGGTTCTTTTTTGCTGGGAAAGACTTGCTCTGAGCTAACATCTGTTGCCAATCTTCCTCTCTCTGTTTTTTCTCTCCCCAAAGCCCCAGTACACAGTTGTATGTTCTAGTTTAAGTCCTTCTAGTTCTTCTATGTGAGCAGCTGCCTTAGCATGGCTGCTGACAGACGAGTCGTGTGGTTCCACCCCAGGAACTGAACCCGGGCCACTGAAGCAGAGTGTGCCTAACTTTAACCACTAGGCCATCAGAGCTGGCTCTACATATATTTTAAGAGTGGTATTTATGTCTGATACATGGTTGTACTAGCAAAAGCTAGCATAAAGGCTTGGTCTAATATCTGGTGAATGCACGCATTGGATCACACTCTAATTAGGCATGGCTGTTTATCTGTCATGGATGTCCGTAAGTCACACACATATACTCTTATAGCAGCTGTTCCAAGCAGTGTTTCCTCAAATAGCAAGGTTCTGCCAAGCCCAGATACAGCGTCATCAAGATCGACAACCAGACCCTTTCGCTGAGTACCTTTTTATTGCATGTTGTAAAGAAATGCTTGAGAAAATTGATGCTCTATCCACATACTGTGTTAATATTTTAGAACATATTTTATTGCTGTTGTTAAAGCTGATTTCAAAAGAACAAATTTTAAAATTAAAAAAAAAAGTGATTAGTGGCAATAAACAGGCCTATAAATAGCCAATGGAACGAAGGCAATCAAAGTGGCTTTTTGGCCACTAACGTTTTCATAAAAGCTTTGATTAGTTACGAGGTGATTGTGAGAGATGATGAGTTACACGCAAAGAAAGAAAAACAGTTTTTCTAGTTTAACAGCTGTGGAATCTTTTGGTAATTGCTGGAATATTCCGTTTCAGTGAACTTAAAGCTTGCTTTTTTATGTCACAGTAGAATGCTTGATCTGAAATTTATATTTTAACTTTATCTTATCTATAACTTTCGTTTTCAGTGCAACTCTAAATTATAGTTGAGAAGGACATTACTTGGATTTATATGTTACCTCTGTTAAGAAGATAGGAAAACTCTATAGGAAAAGGGAAAAGCGGCTACATTTAAAATATTTGAATATCATGATTTGGTTATTAAAATGTGATTTGTCTCCCCCACAGGTACTCATCTTAGACGTCTATAAAGATCACGTGTCTGTGTGAACACAGGACAAGCACAGTTCTCCGGTGTTGATGGGGATATAAAATTTTACCTTGCCTTCTTTGACCACAGTGTGAAATTTCAAAGTATAAACATGATCGAAAAAAGAGTGTCTTCAAAAACAGAGAAACAACAGCATTTCATTTTCCCAGAACCTTTCCAGGCTCAGTCAGACGGCTGCCCAGCAGCCACTAGAAACAACACCCCATTCCCCACACCACCCCCGCCTGTAAGTAAGGGGCACCATCAACGCTGAGAAAGAAATTGCCACAGTAACAAAACTTATGGGAGTGGATAACTTCTCACAGAACTTGCCAATCAGCCACAGACGCAGATCTGCCTTCCTTCTCCCTCACTCCACCCTTAGCTCAGGAGAACAGCCTAAACCCTCAGGAGAAGCTGCCTTTCAGCCGAAGAAGAAGGCTCCACACGACACGGCCGTGTTGGAGTATTTTGCTTGTGCTTCCTTTCCGTCTTCTTTACTACGCAGATGTGTGTGTGTGTAAGTGTGTGTTGTGTTGCTTTGCTTTTTCTCTTTGCTCAGGGTTCAGAAGAGTTATGATTTCAACTGAAGACATCACACGAATGTGGCTAAAAAAGCAAACAATACAGAAATGTATGAAATAAAATCAAATGTCTCCGTCTCCACACCCTCACCGTTCCCCAATTCTCTCGGACTTCCTAAGAACAGAAATTCTGTGAGGAGAGGAGAGTGTGTGTACAGGGGGAGGTGGGGGGTCGGAGGGAGAGAAAGAGGCTTGATATTGTCTTATTTATAATTTAAAAAAATATATTGCACACATACACACTCCTCCCTTCATCTCCCCTCCACCCAAAAAAAGAAAAAATGGAACAAAACAAACAAGAAAACCAAACTTCTGCTGTTCGGAAGTCTAAGAGAATTGCTGGTTAAAGGTCTTTCAGATTAAGCTCGTTCCAAAGACATTTCCAGTGTAACCAAACAATGAGAAGCATTGGTGTCCAGCCAGCCGCAGCCCCTGCCGCCTCCGGTTTAGAGCAATTTCATGATGATTAACTCAAAGAGAAGACAGAGATGGGTTCACGGAATAAGAAAACAAACAACTCAAAATTCCCCTCTATTTATTTATATTTAAACTATCTTATTTTTATCCATTATTTTAGATAATAAATTTATGTGCTTTTAGGATGATTTTCTTTGGTAGGGAAAAATCTCTTAGGCCTTGCATTTTCTCCTTAATTATAAAGGGTTGTGGAATGTTTTCTGAGAACAGAAATCTTTCCTCAAGGAATTATTTTTCCTAGAATGTTAGGAGGGTCTCTAGGTAAGCAATGATGTCAGTGCAAATGTTTTACTTCTCTCCTCTTCCATCCAAGTTGGCTTAATATGTTTTAGTTCTATTACGTGACTATTTTTAGAACAGATTGGAAAATTTGCTCACCAAGAGAACAATGATTAACTAAATCTGTAAAGTGCCATTTCACTATCAATAAAAAGAAAATCTAAACCCACAACTAATGGCCCCGAGTTTCCTGCTTGCGTAGAGGAGTCTCTTTAGACCAAAGTGTTATTTTTGAAATCTTTAGGTTTTTTTCTTCCTTTCCCCACGTCATTCTACCTTTTAAAAAACTTATCCACTCTATTAATAATAAAGAAATATACTCCCAATCTTCACCCTCTTTTTAGCTACACACTTGAGTCTCATGGTCAGGTTTTCCTCCGAGCACCTCTTCCAGATTTGCCGTGAGACAGTGTAGAGCATTGGTTAGGAGTGTGGGCTCTGGAAACAGCCTGTCCTGACTCCAGACCTGACGAGCTATCTGGCTTAGATTAATTTTCCTAATCTCTCTATTCCTCAGTTTTCTTAACTGTAAAATGGGGGGTAAAATTTACATTATAATGTAAATTTGGTAAGGTTGTTATAAAGATTGAAGGAGAAAATATAAGTGAAGCCCTTAATATACTTCTATCCCACAATAAGCTTCAGTGGAGGGGAGTTTAAAAAATAAGATATACAGAACAAAAACATGTTAACTTTCAAAAAATCCCGAAAGTAATAAAAAAAAGAAAAGAAAAAGAAAAAAATGCCAAACTATGACATTGGATAAATAAAGCTTAAATTATTTCTCCAGATTGTTCTATGTCTCAAATTCTATGCTATTGAGTATGAAAGTGTGTATTAGCAAAGTCTGGTCTATCTACGCCAGCTAGGGAGTAACTGACGAGCTTGGGATGCCCATGGCATATGCTGGTCTATGAATGTGGAGGAAAGGTCAAGAGAAGTTATGTAGATCGTAGAGAGATTAGACCAAATGGCCCAGGGAAAAATACATACACACTACTGTATTACCGATTGGAGGACATCGAGAAAATGATGAGTGTTTCCACATTAGAGCTTACACATTGCTGCATTTAGAGATAGCATTCATGGCCGAAGAGACTACTGACTACTTACCCTACGATCCAAAAACGTGGACAACTTCAATGACCAAGTGTATCTATCAAAGGTATAGAGTATGTCCATATCAGTTCCTTTTCATATGCATTTTGTCTAGAATTAGGACATTCATTCATTCCATATAGAGTCAATGT